GTAGGAGTAGTTGGAGTAGTAGTAGTAGTAGGAGTAGTAGGAGTAGTAGTAGTAGTAGTAGTAGTAGTAGTAGTAGTAGTAGTAATAGTAGTAGTAGTAGTAGTAGTAGTAGTAGTAGTAATAGTCGTCGTACTAGAGGTCGTAGTAATCATGATAATACTAGTGCTAATACTAGTACTAGCAAAAGACTTGTACTAGCACTGGTAGTAGTACCAGCACGAGGCCCCAGTAGTAGTAAGAGGAGTAATGCGGTAGGAGTAGCAGTAGCGGCAGCGATGGCAGTAGAAGTAGAATCAGTAGCTGTTGCTGTTGTTGCTGCTGCGGTGTCTTTCCTCTCGTTCCTTTCCTTGCGCTAACTTGCTGCTGCTGCCGTGGCTTCTGTTGCGAGCCTTGGGGGTGGAGTCGAGTTCCTTCTTATCAAACCCTGTCATGAAACGAACTGCGCGAGAAGTCTGCCGGACCTGGCAGGAGGTTGGAGAGGGTCAGCCGCGTTTTCGGTACCATCACCGGAGTGTACATGGATTCCTGACAGCCGGAACTTGCATGCAATCTCCACGTGCAGGGCTTGAGGACAACTCCACTGGCTCTGTTCGCAGGAGGGTGTGCAAGAACTGAAGACCTCGAAAAGACCGTGCAAGTTGCCACTGATTTGGACGATGCTTGTGGTGAGTTTGGGCCGAGCTGCCTCACAGTAGAGCTCCGCAAAATTGTCGTTGCCGAGCGGCACATCTTCCCTGAGTGTGGGACGACTCAGCGAGCATAGGACACCCCGTAACCACCACCACCATAGGTTCACCAATTCTAGATTCAGATACTTCCAGCCTTTCCCACAGCAGCAGCCGGAGAACTATGTGCTGACCGGAGCAATGGGCTGGATTCTCAAAGTCCTTGCCAGTTCAACCCCCCAAAACCCACTAAATCCCAAAGCACCCAGAAAGTAGCCACTGTGCCAACCTTTGTAAGCCTTAAAGTGCTTAGTATCCTCGAAGCCCTAAGCTCGCCCTAAGCCCTAAATGAAAGCAGGCTCCATGCCAATCCTGTGAAGAGGCGGGCTTTGAGTCAATGGTTTGAGAGTCCAGAGTCCAGCATACAAACATGAGCCAAAGGGTGATGTCATCGTCTATAAAATATAGGAAGGTGTAAACCGAGGGAAGAGCAACTAAAGCAACAACTAAGTCACAGAACCACAAGTCCTACGAAGTGCAAGCCACACAGGAAAAAGTAGGTACGTATTATTGTTTCACTATTCCAGGCTCGACAGACATCAAATGACTTCCGCATGCCCTGAAGCAAGTGAGAACCCGAATGCAGCAGCAAGCCCAAGTAACCTAACGGAGGATGTGAAAAGTGAAGATGAAGTATTGCAAAAGCCGAGCACCTCCCCCAACTCCAAATAAAGAAGCTTCACTTCGCTCTCCATGCCAGCAGGACAAGGGGAAACTGGGTCCGAAGCTCTGCGTCATCCTTGATGGCATAGCCTCACTTCGCACGAGGTTTCGGAGCTGCATAACCAGGGGATCACAGCAACTACTTCGTGGCCACTGAAAGGCCTTAAACCCCCTACCCCACACCCAAAAACGAAAACCCTAAGCTTAAGATAACCTCTGCTTCGGAGTCGGGTTCCGCAATTGGAGTTTATGGGTTTGGGATTTACGCTCTCGCAGCCGGACGCAGCCATACGACTTTGTCTCTCGGAGCGCATGGGGTTTCGGGTTCAGGCGTCCGGGCTGAAAGTATTCTGGCCGAGGGTCCCAGTTTCTGTTGCGATCATCCCCGTGATAGCTGACTCTACTTGGAGGTTCATGGGTAGTTATAAGTGGAGTTATAAGTCCCCTAATGTGGGTTATAAGTACAGTTGCCCTACTTGTAACCCCACTTACAACTACCCATGAACTTCCAAGTAGTCTTCATCGGCTGCTCTCCCATAAGTTTGCCTTGTTATCGCACTATGGAAGCCCCTAACAAAAACAAGATTTGTTGAGACCCACGTATTACTTTCCATAGGGTTTCTCGGTTTAGGGTTTTTACTTTCCATAGGGATTCCGCAAGGCTCCTCCAAAACGCGCTCAAGGCTCAGCATCTGAACAGGAGCCGACAAGCCTCCATCTTGAAGTTACATGTATACCCTGTGAGTCAGCTAAGCTTTCATTCAAACTGAACTATGAGCGCCGTCATTTTAGGGTTCAGGGCATAGGGTTTTTTCAAGTTGACAGTCAGAGTCCCCATGGTGCCGGTACCGCCACCAGCAGTACCCCACCACTACCTGTCACTACCACCCGTCGCAGTCTTCTTATCAGTCGCATCGTCGTCTACAGCAGCGACCGCTGTTCGGCAATTTCCAAGTGTAAGAAGCCCTTCATCATTTCCCAGATCCTCAAAACCCTAAACCCTAAAACCCTAAACCCCAAACCTTAAACCCTGAACTCTTCAATGAAACTATCGCCTCGAGGGTGCTCTTATGTCGACCTCGGCTGCAGCAACTCGTCCCGACTTCTCATCCGACACCCGAACCCGGAGTCTTACCTTAACCTACCCAAACCTACTTTTTTGTAGGGCCCCTATTAATTCCATATTAGGGTTTATCATAAGAACCTACAAAAAAGTGGGGTTTGGTTGTTTAAGGCAGAACTCACTGCAATGACCACGCGAAGACCTTGAGCCCTCGAGGCACCAAGCCAAGGCCCTTCTTGCAAGTTTGCAACACGATGCGATACCAGCAACCTAGGGGCTGAGTACCCTAGCCCAAAAGTGGTTCACCTTTTGAGTTGTAGTAGGATTATATAAACCCCAAAAGGTTAAAGGTTATCTACTCAGCTACAAATGCAACCTACGACCTACGACCCTGGACTGCGCTCCAAGGCGTTGCGGCTCTTTTTCCTGGTGGCGCCAGAAAATGGCGCGGGTCTCCGTCACTTCCCCACCTGCGGCCAAAAGCTCAGACCTACAGGGCGACCTTCTTCCCTAACCCCCCAGGTACCTACTATATAGGGTACTAGAGCCCCCAGGGCCCTATATAGTAGGTAACTGGGGGGTCAGGGGTTCAGACTACCGAGGGCCCTGGGGTTGCTCTTCTCGGGGAGGCTGAACTTCTTTGAGCTCATGCTGAATGGGATTGGCGCGAATGATGCAGTTGCACTGACAAACCTGTAGGTCCTTGAGCTGACGAAAGGGCTGCTCTTGAAACTCCCGCCCCAGGACTAGCAGGTTTACACAAGTCTGATCCGGCCACGGGCAGCCAGTTCAGGGAGGAACAGTCACGAACATGTCTCGGTACACTTCCCTGGAGTTGAATTGCTAGGTCGGCATAGGCTGCAATGCGACACAACCCGATGAGCAGCTTGCGAGGGGCTTCAGTAGCTGAATCCTGTTTTCCGCATGTCTGCTAACCAAGAACCGACAGATATCCACGCAAACCTGATGCTAAACACCCTCCGAATTCTAGGTCTAGGTCTCTGTGCTAATGGCACTCTATCGATCAGAGTTCCCTGCATTGTTCCCTGATGCTTCTGTACTGGATACCCCGGCTTTCACGCCCACCACATCGAAACTGTAAAGCCCCAAATTCTCGCGGTTCACAAGCCCCGACCTGCTTTTCCGGCTTAGCCCCCTTGGGGTTCCGAAAGCCCGTAGCCTGCAATTTCTGGCCATGAGCCCCAGCCCTGACGCCTGAACACCAAAACCGTGAGATCTCGAAACTGTAGGTAGCAGTTTACGACTCCCAGGCTTCAAACAGGGCTCGAAGCGTGTTCTATGATTCCTCAACCTTTTCAAACCGAAAAACCTAAGCCCTCGTTTACGGGACCCGCTCTTGCCTTCTCTCGGTAGGATAAGAGGCGCTTGAAACTCTGAAGCGCTTTCTGCGTGGCTGCATTGTCCAGCAGGGAGCCCTGCAACTGGTGGTGTAATCCATAGGGCATACTCTCTGCGACTTGCCTGCCAAGAGTGGTCAACCACTTAGCCTCAGAAACTTGTGCTCGCTTTGTTTTGCTTGGCTCTGGACGCGAAACCGCAAATCCGGAGAACAAAAACGAGTCATCGAGTTCGAGATGACTGGAAACACAGCCACCTTGAGTGCCAAACGTAAGGCTGGTTACCTGGATAAGAATCTGTGAAGCTCAAAACTCAGGGCTAGGACTCCAGTTGCTGGGAGGCTGCAGCCCTGGGTGTTTTTTACTTAGGGATCGAAACCATTTGGGCGCAGGCCCGCAAAGCTACTGAAGCGCGACCACCCCCCTTTACATGTAAATGGCGACAACCCAAGGCCCATCTTACCGCGCAAGCACCCACCCCAGAGTCCGAAACCCCCAAGACAAGGTCAACCCCATCCTGCGATGATACTTCGACATCTTCAAAGATCTTCCACCCTAGACCTTGTATGTCGGGGCCATGGACTTTGGAATAGGGCTCGGGCGGAATGTAGTATCAAGATACAATGACTTTTAGGGGATGTGATTCCTATCGTCTCAACCCCCAGAATCAGAACGAAATCCCGCAACAACTCAATCCCGGTAAAATACCATACGGACTATACGGAGATCGTCCTCCTATTGTTAAAAAAACCGACAAACCCTGAATCCGTGCTTGTCTTCGATCTTTCCCCTAAACCCTAAACGCTACACCCTAAGCCCCAAAAACCTAAACCCTAAACCCTAAACCCCTCAACCCTAAACCCGCCTTGTCTTCGATCTTTCGCCACTTTTGACCCCACATGCGCTCGTTGCCCTTGGGCTCGTCACTCGAGATGTACAGGAGGCCTTGCGAGGCTTTGGGGTTTATAGGGTTTAGGGTTGAGGCTTCCTTCCGGGTTTTCTGACACCGTGGTACACTTCTCGATTTGTGCGTGTCATCCTTGCGCAGGGGCCATGCTCATCTATTCTGCATCGTTCCAATTTTATCGGAGAAAGGTGAAGAGTTAGGGGTCCTTTCGGGGTTTTTTGACACCTTGGTACACGGGTTTAGGGGGTTCCTTTCGGGTTTCGGCTCTCGCACTCGGACAATGCAGGCGAGGGTTTAGGGTTTAGGGTTCCTTTCGGGTTTGCTGTGACGGGTTACGATATGAGTTCCAAACGGGGTTTGGAGTCTTAAGATGTTGGGGTTGGGACTTCCAGGGTTCAGGGCTTTAGGGTTGGTTTGACACGGGTCTGGAGTTACCGGCTTCAGGATATCTGGGCTCAAGGTGTTCTGTCTAGTCACAGCATAAGTTGAGGGGCCTTAGGTTCAAAGTGGGGCGCAAGTGTTGCCATAACATGCATGGCTTGGACTTTTTCTTTGCAAGCATCTATGTTGTTTGTGAAGGTGCACTGCGCTCGCCTGAGGGCAAGGTTCAGCACAAGCATCCATCCAGGAACACCTAAGGCCTACATGCACAGGTACACACACACATGTACAAATAAAAGCATACACAAAGACATGCATGCATGCATGCCATGCTATTCCATTTCATTGAATGCCTTACTTGCACCACACACACACACACCCACACACATGCCTGCCTGCCTGCCTACCTGCCTACCTGCCTACCTGCCTACCTGCCTGCCTACCTACCTACCTGCCTACCTACCTGCCTACCTGCCTACATACCTACCTACCTACCTACCTACCTACCT